TTTTTTTTTTCTTCTTTCCTTCTTTGTTCCTCATTTTTCTTCTTTCCTTCTTTCTCTTTTTTTTTTTTTTTCCTCTTTTTTCTTCCTCTTTCCTTCTCTCGGGGTGGTGATTTGGGTGGCTAGAATGTTGGGTTGGTGGGCTGTGGAATGGGGCAGGGAGAGAGTTGCAGAGAAAGTACATAGAGGGGGTGGTTATGGAGGTCGAGGTGGTGGTTTGGGTGGCTAGAGTGGATGGGTTGGTGGGCTGTGGGAGGGGGCAGGGAGAGAGTTGCAGACAGAGTAGAGAGAGGGGCAGGGATATAAGATCCCACGGTGGTGGCTTTGGTGGTCGGGGTGGTGGTTTGGGTGGCTAGAGTGGTCGGGGTGGTGGTTTGGTTTGGGTGGCTAGAGGAGACAGACAGACAGAGAGAGAGAGAGAGAGGGAGAGAGATCCAGAGATGTGATTTGGATTTTACAATAAATAAAAATGTCACAATTTGAGGTGCTGTTGAGAGCTCCTGCCCTTCAATGGGGTTTATATGCCAAATGGTTGAAGCTGAAAATGACTGAGAAACCCAAGACAAAGGTTCTGAAATCTGCGTGAGTTATTTGGCCTCGTTCATAATGCCTGCCTGCTTTGGGTTTATCGACAACACCCCCAACAAAAAAGAAAAAGCCAACAGATTCACACAAAAGGGTTTTTATTTTTTGGGTTTTGGTTGGTGAAAATGGATCTTTTGACTAAAAGTGAAAGCAATAACAAAAACAGAGCCAGTTGTGGTCTTCTGCATCACAAATTCACAATAAGCCTCTTTCTATAAAAGAAAGAAAGAAGAAGCGTGAGCGGGGCCAGGCGGAGAGAAAGAAGAAAGAAGAAAGAAGTAGAAAAGAAAAGAAAGAGAAGAGAAGGAAAAAAAAATTATAGTTTTGGATTGATTTGACGATTATACCCTTGGATTTAACGGTTTTTTTGACAGAGGGACTATTTAAGAGTACCTGTATTAACGTTAGGGACCATTAATGATACAAAAAAACGTTAGGGATGCAATGTGATAATTTCGCAAACGTCAGGGATGTTTTGTGATAATAAGCCATATATATATAATAAGTTGGTTGAAGAAAAGTTGGCTGAAGGAAAGTTGGTTGAAGAAAAGTGGGCTGAAGAAAATATTAGGTGGATAAATGGAAAAGCATTGGCTGGAGCATTTGGATGGTTTGCCAATGTGGCTGAAAAGTTCTTTCCTTATGCTATTATATATATATAAAGTGAATGAATAAGGGTTGCCAAAGTTGAAGTTTTGTTTTTGAATTTAAACAACCACCTTAGACTTCCGCTGCGATTAATTTGATTAAATGCATGTTTAATATTCAAATGAACTTTGGAAAATTGTTTTGAAAATCCTACAATAGGCGGATAAAAGGTGGCCGAGTGTTTTCTCAAAAAAGGTGGCCAAGGTGTCTTCTTTTGCAAAAGAGATTGGGCGTATCTTTGAAGTTGGCTGAACACTACTCTTGCAAAAAAGTTGGGCTAAAGTGATTGGGCATATCATATTGATATATTCATTTATATATATATAAATGGGTGGATGCATGCATGAATACGGCCAAAGCTTGGAGTTCTTTGGAATTGATGTGGCCGGGACCTTGAAGTTTGGAGGTCGTAGCAATTTGGGCTACACAAGTTTGCAGCCGGGTGAAGCTAGGAAAGCTGGGTAAAGAATGGCGGCCGAGAATTGTTCAAATTCGGCCGGGGTTTAAGGCTTGCGAAAGATTGCGGTCGGATTGTGATGCTTGGGATATCTCGGCTGGGGTTTGCTAGAAATTGCGGCTAGTTGTTTTTTGGTTTTGAGCGAACACAATTTTGGAATATGTCGGCCGGGTATTTAGTTTCTTTACAAACTGGGCTGAAGGGCTTTGAGTAGGAAACTTAATCATATATACATATATATATGTCGGCCGGGTATTTGGTTTTTGGAGTAGATAGGGCGCATGGATTTTTTGTGCAAGCTGGGCTGAAGTTTTTTGTCTTATATACATATATATATTATATGAATGCGGCTGGAGGCTCCCAAGTTTAAACCCTCCATCTCATATATTGTGATAATATAATATCATATATATATATATATAAGTATATATAAGTAGATGAATGTGCATGTGCGGCCAGCTCCCACGTTTAAGCCTTATTCATCCTATTTTAGGCTTATATATATATATTTGGAATTTAATATAATTATTCATATGGGAGGCATCCACTCATCGTTTGGGCGGAAATTAGTAAGACATTTGTTCATCATGCGGCCGACAAGGTATGGCCATATAAACTGGAATTGGTTTGGCCGAAGAGTTTTTTTTTGCAAACCTTGGAGTTTTGTCCTATTACATATATATTTGTAATAGGGAGATGAATGCAAATTGCAAAGGTGCGGCTGGAGCGGGCTGAAGAGTTTGTTATTAAATTAACAGATTGCAAGTGGCGGAGTTTAAAGACAGGAAGACATTAATATTGGGAAGATTTCCAAGACATCGGGCAGTTCGTGCCTAGAGCTCCCGAAAGCATTGGAGCTCTATAAATAGAACATCAGATGAAGAAAGAAGGACCTCCAACCGAACACACAAAATCTATCTTTTCATCCTGTACTTTTCAATTCATAGTCTAGGATTTTATCTTTCAGGCTCTTCAGATTATCCAAGTTCTTCATTTCCGAACTGCAACTTAGAAACTTTTTGCTATTGCTTATTTCATTTACTAAATTTTCTGAACAAACAAACAGAACCCATCATCTTTGATAGAAAAAATAAATAAAATATAGAACCCATCATCATAAAGAAAAGGGACAATGAATTACATAACCAATATTTATAAATAAAAAAAACACAAATCTGGGATTCTTTCGTAAAGAAAGGGCGAAAATTCTGATTTGAATTCTTGAAGCCTTTGATCCATGGCTTCTCGTAGGCAGAGAGAGGAAAGGAGACAGGAGACATGAGAAACAAAATTGTAGTCTAGCAAAAAAAAGGTAATTCGAAACAAAATGAAAAGAATTCGGAGAATGAAAGTATCTCAGATATGAAAGACAACATTCAGAAGAAGAAGAAAAAACCCCCAAAAAAACCATAGATCTCGACCTCTAACCCAGAAGAAAGTGATGGCAATCATCAAAACATCTCAATATTTAACATTTAAATAAAAAATTTACAAAGAAATCTGAGATGAGAGATGATAGTTGAGAGCAGAGGAGAGAAGAGAGAATCCAAAAAAAGAATCACAGCTTCATAGATGCATTGAGAAAATAAATCTACCTTCATAATGGCACAAAGAGGTGTTGAAGTCACAGGGAGAACGAAAAGAAGAAAAAGAGACGATGAGAAGGAGGTGCTCTGCGTACGCAGTGAAAGCCGGAGGCGGAGGCTTCGAAACCCATGGTTTCACTTGGGTTTAAAAAACCCTCTTTCGCTGGATTGGTATCCTACTTAAAATATGAGTCCTAACCAGTCCCAAAGTGCATTTAGGCTCACCAAACAACAGCTAGGACTATAGTCCATTTTAATTGAAAAAGTCTGGTCCAGTCCAGCCCACCAAACAGGGCCTTCATGGCATACTCATCTATGCTCTGCCTACCTTCATTCCTTATCCAATACTTCCATAATCTGGACATGTCCTGTACATTCTAGAATTATGCATGTAAATAGGAGCCTTAATGTAGAACAGGCAGACGTTTAGCCCCGAAATTTTTTATTTTTTATTTTTGGTTGAAAGCCGACAAAGTTTTATAATGTAGTAACATTATAAAATACAATGACCCATACACCAAAAAAAAACACACAATATATGGTTAATAATTCTTATTAATTCTTAATAACTTGGTGCTTCGACAGAGGAGATTACTCTTCTTCTAGGTCGTTGCTGTGACTTCCAGAAGCTAAAAGCGCTGCCAAATAAAAGGGATAATAGGTGATGTAACGAAAAGTAGGTGTTGTATTTGGAAAGAAGAGTGGGCTGAAAAGTATTAAGACAGTGTAAAGAAAGCATATTCCGATGACCAACACCACGATCGAAAGCCAACGAAGGTTGCTTACGACCACATAAACGCCAGCCATAAAGGCTAAGGACAGCATGCCAAGCGCAATCCCCAGCAGAGGCATTACCAAACGAAGAGCTGTGAACACCAAAATTAGGTCTCCCACTTGTGCCCAAATGAGAGTAACTGCAACGAAGACGGAGCTATACATAGCTATGGCGTTACTGATCACAAACACTTGGAACATAACCTTGGTTAGCAAGGTTGCTTTGCCCTCATCAGGACCGGAGTTATTGTAGCCACCCGGCATTGTGAAACCAGCTGCAAATGTCACTGTAGCTACAAGTGTAGTTACCACCAATAGAGTGTTCACCCTGTCCTTGTAACTTTTCGTGTTAGGAAACTGTAACTCCATGCGGTCTGCGCTACAAGAATTTATAATTTCAGCTAGGACATCTTGACTCATAGTTGGGACATGTCCATCGTTGTCTCCTGCATCGTCTTGCTGTGGACTCTGCGCATTTGTCCGTAAGAGAACATGCAGAGGCTGAGCTCGCTGTGCACCGCCAGATTTCAGTGCTACCCATGTTAGCCTCTGTATGGTGGGACAGAGAAATCATATTCATTGCCAACAAAAACGAAACAGATCATATAGAATAGAACTGGGCTATTTCCCCTAAAACAAATATAGCAGACTTACCCCATGAAATGAAGCAACAGCTTCCATAGTGCACTCTGCAATGTCAAGAGCTGTCATGCCTTCATAGTTCAAAACCATTAAGTTGGTCTTTTTTTCCCATGTGAAATATTTCACAACTCTTGGATGCCGATAAATTGTTGCCAAATGTAAAGGGGTATTTCCCTCCTTATCCTGTTGGTTTATCAACATCTGAAACCCATTACCTTCTCTTAGAAAATAGTTAACAAGGGCATGTTTTCCAAATTTTGCTGCAAGATGGAGTATATTTTGGCCATCTGAGTTTGGCAATTCCTTCGAAGCTGGAAAATGTCGAAGCAGCTCTTCAACAATCTTGTCGTAACCTTTGCTTGATGCAGAATGGATCGGGAGGAAGCCACTAGTATCTGCTTGATTAGAGTCAGAGGGACATTTGTCCAAGAAGAAGCGAACCCCTTCGAGGTAACCAGTTGATGCTGCATAATGAAGTGGGGTCCTTCCTTTCTCATCTTTTACGTTGACGGTAAATCCCATGGTTGATATTATCTCTAGGAGCTCTATCATCAATAATTGAATCAAGTATACAGATTCAGAATGTAATACGAATATAATCTTTCACAAGTTTTGACAAAATAGAATGCATTGAAAATAGTTTTTAATTAGAGCAGACTTTGTTGGGAGAGGTCCCCAATCTAGTTTAGGGAATCATAAATGCTTTAATTCTTTTTTAATTCAACATAAATGGTCCATCTTCTCTATATAAAAAAAAATATAAAAAATAGGCAATAGTTTAAAATATTTATTAAATAAGGCAGCATTAAATTATAGGGAGCCACTATGAGTTCATTCTCTCTCCTCATATTTAGGAGCTCCTAAAAATCTCCCTATTTTAGGAACTGGATAGGAAGCATAGTTGGAGGTGGGTTTTCTCACTTACCCCCTAAATTCTATCTAAATAGGTGGTTTATGAAGTCCATTGCGGATGCTCTTGGACCTGGCCACTTAATTCTTGTGTTCGATCACGGACTCACTCCAAGCCTCGAGACTCCAAATCCAAAATTCACCAAAAAATCATCTTAATTCCAAAAAAATTCACGGAAACATGCTACGTACAATCTCTTTGTAACATGCACTTTCATTCTGTGATCTCATATTCACAATTTGACCCCAAAAAATTTCATTTCCAAGTTCCACATAAAATTGAAAAATGAAAACTAAAATCAAGTATGCAACAGCTTTTGTTCAACTTTCACTTTTCATTTGTTTTGAAAACTAAAATTAGTTATCAAACAAGTTTTCAGTTCTTAGTTTTCCAAAAATGGAAAATGAAAACAGAAATGATTATCAAACAGAGCTTTAATTACATATTATATTGTTTTTAAATTGGGTCATAGCTGATTTGATTTAAGGAATTAAGCATGGCTATTTACTAAACTAAAATATGAACCCACTCTGAAACACAAATTTTGGGCATCAAGAGCCGATTCAATTGCATCTACCAAGACACAAACAACCTAGCACTTGTCATTTTTCAAACCCATCATAACCCCATATTCCAATGATATATCAGCAAATTGTTGGTGTAGTGGCTCGATACAAGACATGATGTGTAAGTCCCACATCAGAGAATACAATAATAATATATGCAGTTCAAATATAGGTGCTACAATCCTGATTGCACCGAGGTCTTTTAAGTTAAAACCACACACCTAGTGTCCACTAGGCCTAACCCAACCCAACCCATGTATTGTGCCTAGGTGGTTAAGGTGTGGACAATCTCGGTGCATGGTTTGTGGAGATCTTCGTCTTGTGAGATAGATTGTAAAGTGGGAAAAAATGTGTGGTTAGTGTCCTATTAACTTACTGTCTTCGTTTGTTTATTTGGTAAAATTTAGAAAACTTAACATTGTTCGATTTGAATGAATTTTTACAGGGATTATCTTTCCCTAATGATCTAACAAGTACACAGTTCGGATTGTGAGATAGATTGTGAAGCAGGGAAAAATGAGTGGCTAGTACCTTATTAACTTACTAATCAGTTAGTGCTTGAGCGCTCTTGTTTGTATATTACTAACGCTCAAGAAAAAAGGATCACATTTTTTGTGCTTGTGGTTTGACCCATTTTCCACTTAGTCTCTGTCATTTCAATTTGGACAATTTTAGTGTTATAGTTTTGTTTAGTTAGCAATAAAGTTCTAAAACCCTTATATATTTTCTTTTAATAAAAGCGATAGTCTAAACTACAAGGGGGAGAGGGGTTTCTCATACACACAATATCAAGGTGCATGGGGGTTCAAACCTAATACCACTGGTCTACAAGTCAAAATGACTAGAACCTAGGACTTTTCCTGGGGGATAATTGCTCCAAACCACTACACCAGTGAATCCCTTGTATGAATTTCATAAATTAATTTGACAAAACTTGCGATTTGTACTTGATTGCAAACCAAAAGAAACTATAGGATAGACTTGCTGAAATTCAAATGATGACAAGCAAAATGAAAAGGGTTTTTAGGTCTAATGGTTCCTAAACTTTGACCCGATTCGCATTTTGGTCATTCAATTTCCAAAAACGTTCATGTGGTCCTTTAACTTCAGTTTCGTTAGGACAAATAGTCATGCCGTCAATTTTGTTATCTTTTTGGTTAAATGCAGGGGCAAAATGTATTTTTTGTATTATTTTTAATTTCCACCATCTGAATTTTCCTTTCACCCAAAAAATAAAACTAAAAACTAAAAACTTAAAAACCTTCTTCCTATCCTCGCCATAGTAGCGACAACCTCTTCAACCCAATCCCACCTAAACACACACAACCCACAACAACCACCAAGCCTTCCTCACCCTCACCATCCTACCCAGCCCCAACCCCTCTTTCCCCATGATGAAATATTCAAATTTTTTTTCATCAACAAAATCGAGGATATGATATATAGTGAAGGGCAGAGAAGGTGGGTATGGTTCGGGTGGGGGTGTGGGTTATGGGAGCACCATCAGCTGTTGCCGGGATAGGGGGTTAATTAGCTTGGGGTCAGGTGGAGGTTGACCACGACTTTGTTGGATTGGAGGAAGGGAGATATATCATTCCTCGATTGGTGGTGGGTTTTAATGGGCTTGGCCTGGGAAAAGAGGGAGATATATATATATATATATATATATGGATGGTTAAAGTTAAGTGGCAACGGTGGGGAGTGGGTGCGGGTTTTGGGTGCGCTAGAAATTGCCCATGTGCCCTGGAAGTGAAGCAGTTTTCGATTTTGACCCTCCACAGTACAACATGAGCCATGCACATGCTCAAATTTAACATGAAAAAGTTAATAAAATTGATGGCAAGATCATTTACTGTAACGAAATTGAAGTTGAGGGACCACGAAAATGATTTTGGAAATTGAGGAACCAAAATGCGAATTAGGTCAAAGTTCTAGAATCATTGAACCTAAAAGCCCAAATGAAAAATAAGTCAAACTAAAACGTAATTTGCCCAAAACTAAAAATTGCATTGATTGAGCCCTGACAAGGATTTGTGTGGCCTAAAGGTAGTGGACTGCAGGGATGCTAAATGGGGAATATTTTTTCATATGGGCTCAAAACTTTAAGGGTATGCAAGATCTAATTCAATTCGTCCAAATCGACCGATTCAATTCAATTTTAATCAATTTTGATGATTTGGCGGATTGGATTGGATCTGTAATGTCGAAAACTGAAATGATTGGATCATATGATGGACTTATTTGTGAGAATTCAATCAAATCCAATTTAGTTAGTTTCATTCTTATTTTGCTCGTGTTAGTATTTGTAGTTGAAAATTTTATGAACATTTTAAGTCATTTGATAGAATTATGTTTAGTTTATTATAAAACCAAAATAATTTTCTCTAGTATTTCATTCATATTTTACATTTACATCTATTAATATTTTTATTAGATTAAATCTAACGATAAATGTTTCATATTTCATTATTGTCTTTTTTCATTATAAAAAATGATCATCCAATCCAATTTAATCATATTGGATTGGATTTAAACCTCTGATTCGATTATATTTGACTGGAAAAATCACAACCAAACTAATCTGCAAGCGTCATAAATACATGCAGGCCAACGAGGTTTAGCTCAGTGGAAAAGAATGTTGATTTGTTAACCAGTGGTCTCAGGTTTGAACTCCTTTGACACTAGTAGTGTGTGTGAGAAAATCCACTCCCCTTCCTAACCCTTCCTAACTTTGGTATACAAATTATAGTAAATTTGGGTTTTCCCCTTTAAATTCATTTTTCCTTACCTACAACCCATCCTTTTATTTTTCTATAAATTAAACCCAATTTCTATAAGTAAAACCCAATGACTATGATCCACCTAAGTAAGTTACCTAATCAAGCTTAACATATTAAATGTTATATTTTTTCAATTCCTAAATTACCCTAATTGCATTTTAACTTTTTTTTTTTTCCTAACAAATTGTTTGCTATTCAATGTCATAATGGTGTTTCAATTTTGCATAAGTTTTGTGGGTCAGTTTTATTTATTTATTTTATATATAATTAAAACTTGGTGTGTAATTAGTGTCGTATGTTTTTGAAATTGATTGGTTCTAATATACGTATTATGTTTTTTTTATAGTATTTTGTAAATGAAATATATAATTAAAACTTGGTCTGTTTTTCCAAATCCGACAACCTGATCATATTTTGTTTCAATTTCATATTAATTGGTTAGTTATTTCCTTTTATTTATATCAAAATTTCAAATTTAATAATTGTTGGATTTGAAATTAATTTGTTTTAGGAACATTAATTTACCTACAAATATTTTGTATACCTATTTTTTCTAATAATTAATTAGTTTCAATAATGCAACTATTTTTTTCTTATAAATAATGTACCTATATTTTTGTAAACTAAATAATGTGGATAAAAAAAAAAGTACCTATTTACGTATTTTTGCTTATAATGGACCATATTCAATAATGAACCTATTTTTTGTATATTAAATAATGTACCTATCTATGTATATTGGAAAATTATAATGTACCTAGATATATTAAGTATACAAAAATTGTAACACAACTATCAAAGAGACCAATATATCATTTATGCTAACAAACTCCCCAATAGAGAAAAAAGAGAAATAGTCAACCCTAATTAATGTGCGGGTTCAAATTGTGACTCCTAGAGGAAATTGATGGATTAAAAAAAATAGAAACCACGTTGAATGCCTTGTTAAAAATATTATTGAAATCATAAATTTAAGGGATTTTTTTAAGGAGAAAAATGTTCAGCAACAAAGAGGGGTTGATGGCATGATTTGTAAATATGTCATAATATATGAACACTTTGGCATCCAATTCAAAATTGGGTTTTATTTAAATGTAATAAAATAGGTGGGTTATTGTCTAGAGTATTTTAGTTGTATGGGTCTATTTTGGTTAGACCCTAAAAAATAAAAATAAAACTTCGTTAATTTTTTTTTTTTACTGAACCAGAAAATAACTTCGTAAAAATAATTAAAAAAGCATGGAGACTTGATGGAACAATTAAACTTAGCTGATTCCATGTGGTCAGTGATTGAAATTTCAAGAGAAAAATACCTTCGTTCTTGGCCAGAATTGCAGCATGCAATGGGGACTTCCCTTCCACCGCCAAGTTCCTAGGCGACCGGTACCGTTGACTTATACACTCCACAGTTCGAATATCCCCTGCTCGAATGGCCAGATACAAAGGTGATTTGCCTTCCTTATTTGCAGAAAATGAAACCGGATGGTCATGATCAGGATCGGCCCCAATCAAATATGTTGCCACTTCTTTCTGGCCATTAATCAGTGCTTCATGCAAAGCCATGTTTTCCTCATCATTTTTCATCCTCAGCAACCGCATGCCGTCGTTTTCAATATCAGTGGCATTGCTTTCACCTGAACCTGGATTCCTTGATGACATATCATTTTCAATATCTGTTGCTTCTCCTTCACCTGAGCAGAGATATTTTACCATATCTAGATTCCCATCTCTGGCCGCAAGATGGAGCGCAGTGTCTCCTTGAAAGTTTTTCTTGAACAAAAGGAGCTTGTGAAGTTTTACGATCTCAGTTGCTAGAATTTCATGGCCGAAACTCACAGCTATGTGAAGAAATGTGTTTTTCAAGGGGCTTAGTTCGCAGAGTAGCTGGATGTCAACATTTGCATCATTTGTACTCTCACGCTTGCCCACAGTCCCTAGAAACTGATCTAGCCTGCCCTCAGTTGCACACTTGTACAGCTTCTGGTAAGTGGAGAAGCCAGAATTTCATGTGTGTGGGGGCCTCTAAAAAATATAAAGAATAAAAAATTTGAACTCACAAGACATACTAAAACATCAAAAATCATATTGTGTATTCATTACAATCATCATTGTTTTTGACGAGTTTTCATATTTTGAAATCGTTGCATAACAACCTTGTCATATATACTATTAAAAATATCTCTCAATATATGCAACGAAGCAATCATTCATCCATAAATTAAAAGACCTATTAAAATCAATAAAAAGCAAAAATCAAAAATCAAAAATAAAACAAAATTTCATGAACTAAAAAAAACCATAAATAAAGAGAAAAAGAAAAAAAAACTATTAAAAAAAACTTTAATTGAATAAATTAACCTAATTAAAACTTAATAGTTTAATATAGAGTTTGAGAGAAAAACTCACAGGCAGAGTGCATTGAGAAAGTCTGCTTTGCTGCTTTCTAAAAGGGTATTATCTCCAAGAAAGGAGAAAAATGGGTTAGGTTTTTATCGATTTTTGTAATAGAAATTTAGTGAAATACCCATTCCTAGACATAAAACTATAAATATACCCTATACCATTCATTATATATATGTTGAGCCTATTTTGCAGGTTTGTTCCATCTGCTTCAATTCGTTATTTCCCTTTTGATTTTTGCTTAATTAACTTGAATTTCGACTTGATTTCAGTTTCTTCGTTGAATTTCATGCTAATTTCTATTTTTTCGATATGAACAGAGCTAATGGTTAAGCTCGTTGAGTTCTGTGGCTACTCTGTAGATTTGAGGTGTCAATTGCCGGATGAAGGTGTTCAGAACGCCGACGCTGATGGTGATTGCAAGAAGAAAGAAGATGAAGACGATTTCTCTTTCGCATGCTCCAACCCCGACGGATCGTCGATTTCCACCGACGATATATTCCAAAATGGCCAGATCCGTCTTGTGTTCTCGATTTTCAACCCGGATATCTTGTTTGCAGATGCGACGACGATTTTTCCAGAGCCAGAGGGGTTGCCGCTTCCTCTTCCTCTCTGCGGCCGCCATTGAAGAAGCTCATCAGTGACGCCTCTGATGTCCGTATTTTCACCGTTTATTCTTATGTTGATTGCTCATTTCAATATTTTCTAGTGTTTATTGTATGAATTGTTGTGTTTTCTGTTTGTGTTTGGCTTGTGAACATTTTAAATTCAACTACTTAGTTTGTATGGCTTAGGTTAGAGATTTGAACACGTTAACTTTTATGTTGTAGTTTATGATCGTTTCAACAACTTATTTTAAACATTAGCTTATTTGACCAAGCAATCTATTTTAATGAGTTATGTAAGCATGACATGACAAGTTGCTAGTGAGTTTGTTTCTTCACTTCAAGTGCGTATTAATTTGTGTGGAAGGAAGGTTTCAATTTTTCATGTTGAAGAATGACATGACAGAGATCAAAAAATTGGTAATGAGGTTGAGGACCTACCTATTGAAAAACATGCATTGCCTATTTGATTTGATTTTTCTCTTTTTCTCTATCTCTGGTTTAAATGTGGAAAATGGATTTTCTTTTAAAAACAATTTGTAGGTGTTCTTTGAATTTTAGTTTGCTATCTGGTGTTGGTTGATTTTGAATTGGTCATATGTGTTGGCAGAAAATTCATGCATTGCTGTCTCTCATTTGTAGTTGTTGTTCAGTTTAATCCCTGTAGGAGCTTGTACCCGAGTGTGTGAGGCTGGCTCACTTGTTTCATGTTTGATGTAGTAGCACTAGTCATTTTGATTTGGCTGTAAGATTTAGCTATAAGGAATTGCTTTCTGCGTTTTGAAACCAAACCAATTTCTCATTTGAAGCAATAAGTTTCTAGACTCTGTTATACACATGAACTTATTTGATGACTGCAAAGACCTATATTAATTTCTTGGATGATCAAATTTACCATTTTCGGTATGAAATGCTTGCTAAATATGCATCTCTAACCCGAGTGTAGCACAATGCGCTGTGAGTTAACCCATAGAGCTTACTATTGAATGAAAAACAAGATATCCTCTTTTTATTTTCCTCTATTGATCTACTATATGGAGTTTCTTTGCTTTTTCTGCCCTGTAGATTTCTTAGTTCAATTTAGAAAATCTATGTTATTCTCTTATTGGTTCAGCATATATCTATTGAAATTTTGACTCGGGGAGTGAATGGTTTCATATTATCCCTGTAGTTTGTAGTGAAATAGCAGACTATTCAAATTCTATATACTATTTCAGCTTATCAATTATGCGCTTTGGGCTTATGATTGTTATCTGTGTTGTTCCAATTATTCTATTATGCTTAATTATTTTGTTCTTATTTCTTGTTGTCAGATTTGGTGAACATCCTTGGTACCATTGCAAGGTCTGGCACCAAGGAATTTATGGAAGCCTTGGCTGCTGGTGCTTCTCTTGTTGCAGATAAGGTCATTGTTACCACCAAGCACAATGATGATGAGCAGTATGTGTGGGAGCCACTCCGATTCAATATTTATGGTATGTGGAGTAATGAAGGATCAATTAATTATGCAAATGAAATGATGTAGTTGATTTTGAGTGGTATGGAGTTGTAAACTTTTATCGTACCTATTATACAAATGAAATGATGTAGTTGTTAACTTCCAGTAAGTGGTATGAACAGTTGTGATACTGTTCATACCCTGCAACTGAGTTGATTTCTATGACATAGTATTAACAGTGTACTTCTATGAGATAGTATTAACAGATTTTCAGTAACAAAGCATGCTCTATATTTTGCTCTATATATAGCTATGCGCTTGAAGTTTATGATATGTAGAATGTGATTTTTACTAGGAATATAGTTCTATGACATAGTATTAACAGTGTACTTTTTTTTCTTGTAGATGTTTTTCCTTTTGCCTTTGCGATTGTATCTGGTGAAACTGTAGACAATTGGAGGTGGTTTCTGCAAAGGATATCGGATGTCTTGCTAGGCTTTTTTGTATGAAATAGTATTAACAATGTTTTTTGTATCAAATGGTATTAACAATGTTTTTCGTATGAAATGGTATTAACAATGTTTTTTGTATGAAATGGTATTAATAATGGTTTTTTGTATGAAATGGTATTAACAATGTTTTTTTTGAATGAAATGGTACTAACAATGTTTTTCTATGACATGGTATTAACAATGCACTTCTATAGCATGGTATTAACAATGCACTTTTATGACATGGTATTAACAATGCACTTCTATGACATGGTATTAACAATGCACTTCTATGACATGGTTTGTGGAGGTTTGATAGAGAATGAAAGGTCGTGGGGACAAACCCTTGGTTTTCTGATTTTTTTTTAATTGTTTATTTATTTTAAGTTTGGGTTTTTTCAAAAAAATTTGATATGGGCTCGTTGGGCTTGTTTTGGGTTTGTTTGGGAATTTTGTTTTGGGCTTGTTTTAAGTTAATCAATGGCAGAGATGTAATTTATAGGAACTTCAATACTAATTTCATATGTAGTAAATGATTTTTGGGTGTGTTTCTAAAGTGCATTCCATGTAGGGTTTTTTTATAATTTCAGGCCCTATTTTGGGTATATTACTAAAGCTCCATTTTTGTAAAAGGGTAAATATATAATAATTAGAGCTATAAACTTTTGGGAAAAATAAAAGGAAAGTGGCTTAAGCTTGGTGGAAAGGAAAGCAGGATTTGGTTGCTGGCCCACGCGACATAATAAACATATTTATTAATATAGATTATTCAATAACAGCAATACATATTACATTTTAAAAGGAAAAAAGAAGTTGAGTGGGGGCCAGTGAGACTGCACTGGTCCCCACGTGCCTCCGCCCCTGCTTCTGGTACGAGTCTGCTATTTCGTCAAGGTTCTGGAGTTTATGTGCTTCTTTCTTCAGTACTCCTGTCCACACCCTCGCAAATCTGTCCGCCAACTGTATCCATAAGTGTTCGTGATCCAAAGAGGAACGGCGACCCCAAACCCCAGTAGATTTTGCGAACAGCAGTTTCCAGCACCAAGGAGATGATGGCCTCTGCCATGAATGCCTTCCTAAATATAATTCTTACCCGACGAGCGAGAGCGACACTCCTTAAGTATATAGCTAGAGAGCCCTTCAACCTTTGCACGGAGAGGGAGAGGGAGAGACAGAGAGAGTATCTAACTACTACTAGGGGTGTTTTCGGTGCGGTAACCGCACTGAAACGACGAACCGGCAACCGCCCGAGAGGCTGCGATATGGCGAAAATATGAACCACCACCGCACCGACGTCAGCCGGTTACCTGCAATTTCGGTTGCAGTCGTATTCTTCGGCGACGGTTGGTTGCCGTTAAACGCCACAACCACAAACACAGAGAGAAAGAGAGAGAGAGAGAGAGAGAGAGTTCGTGGAGACTGAAAGACGAAGAAAAGAGGAGAAGAAGACAATGGAAGAGGGAGGCAGAAAAGAGAAGGAGGAGATTCAAGATACTATCACAAAAAGACAAGTAATACATCCATAAAAAAGGCACAAATATCTCACTTTTTTTCAATGTTTTTTTGTCTCTTTTGAAAGAGAAGAGCACTTTTTTCTGACCTAAAAAAAAACAAAAAATACCAACTCTTTTTAATTTTAATTGTTTATTTTCTTCTTCTCTCTCCCTCTTGGACTTTTCTTCTTCCAACTCTTCTGCAACATCTCTCTTTTACTTTTTTTGGTCAACATCTCTCTTTTACTTCTTCTTTTCAATATCTGTATCTGTTGCTTCTCTTTTAAAAGAGAACAGCACTTTTAATCCTGGAAAATTCTGTTTGATATCATCTGCTGGCATCTCTGAAATGGAGAAATGATTTTATCTTAAAAAATGAGACTGCTTTTCCTTTTAATCCTAGAGAACATACTCTACTACCAAGGAGTGGATCAGGGCCTTTGCAAATAATCACTTGAATGGTGTGTTAAAGCTAAACGTTGACGGATCTTTAAAGAGAAGTACTGGTTCCATTGGGGCCAGAGGAGTTATTAGAGCATGTCCACCCATAAGAGCTAAGTCTAGGGTAAGGGCAAGCAAGGGCTGCCACTATTCACGTGAATAGTGTCAGCCTTGCCATTTGTGGTTCCACCCATGAGGGCTAAGTCTAGGGCAAGTCTAAGGTCCAGTTTGGGATTGCTGTCACTTTTAAAAGAAGTTGCTTCTGCTGTGCTTTGAAAATAATTAGCTGTAAAGTAAAGCAGCTCCATGTTTGGTAAATAATATTTTTAAAGTGCTGTTAGTACAAAAAGCAGTGTAAAAAACGTTTGGTAAATTTTAATATAAAATTGTTGTAACTGTGAATAATGACTAAAATAGACATGATGTTAAAAGTGTTATGTACTAATCATGTGGTGGTAGTTGTAGTGATGGAGTGGAGGTGGTGGTGGTGATGAAGGTGAAGTTGGTGGTGGTGGGGATGGCGGTTGTGGAGGTGGTGGTGGTGGTGGTGTTGGTTGTGGAGGTGGTGGTGGATTTGGAGGTTTTGGAGGAGGAGGTGGTGGTGGTGGTGGAGGAGGAGGTGGTGGTGGAGGTGGTGGTGATGTTGGTTGTGGAGGTGGTGGTGGATTTGGAGGTTTTGGAGGAGGTGGTGGTGGTGGTGGAAGTGGTGGTGGTGGCGGTGGTTGTGGAGGTAGTGAATGTGGTGGTGCAAGTGGTGGAGTTGGATGTGGATGTGGAAGTGGAGGTGGTGTCATTTTTTAAAAAGAATGATGGTATTTTGGGAATTAAAAAAATTCATTAAATGTTCATCTCTGCTTCTTTTGAAAGCAGCTTTGAAAAGCAACCCAGAGTCTGCTTTTAAAAGCTGCTGTCAAAAGGCCATTGCTTTTAAAATAATCGGGATATTTTCTTTTTACCAAACACCTTAAACTGCTTAACTTTAAAGTGAAGTAGGTTTTTGGCGAAAAAAAGCAATCCCAAACGGGGCCTAAGGCAAGAAAGGAAAAAAATATTATGCAACAAAATATAAACAATTTAGAAAGTGAATAAAATTGTTATGTATTTATAAGGAAAGCATCTATAATGTTTTGGTATTTTAAAAAAAAAAATTGAATTTTTTTTGGATTTTTTAAATATTTTTTTGCTCGCTGACGTCACAAAACTCGGGCTGAAGCCTAGGCGAAACCTGCCCTTGGACTTGCCCGGGCTGGTGGGACCCAGGCGAAATTGGGCTGCAGGCTGCAACGCTGGAGGGCCAAACCTTACCCTGGGGGGCCTTTTGCCCGGTTTGGTGGGCTGCGCTGGAGATGCTCTTAGAGACCACTTGGGTAATTGGATTGGTGGGTTTGCTGTCAACTTGGGGAGAGGACAAATCCTTGAAAGTGAGCTGTGGGGCTTATTTTTTGTTCTAAAATTAGCTATTAAGAAAGGAATAATGGATATTGTTGATGAAATGGATTGTCACTGCGTGTCGTCAATCTTATCTTGAGTAATGAGCTGAACAACTGTCATCCTACGACAGGCTTGATTAGCAGCCGCAAGAGGCTCTTGCCATTTGCCAATGCTCTTATTAAAAAAAGAACTCTATCGCTGATATATTGGCTACTTGGAGCCACGACAATGACCCGGGTTGCTGGTTTCTTGAGGGAAATTCGAATTGGCTTGGGCCTTTGTTAGGGGTGGGTACGGTTTGGTTTGGATTGATTTTTGCCTTAAATTAAAATCAATCCGATATTATTCATTCGGTTAGATTCGGTTCAGTTTTAATTAAAAAAAATCAAAAACTATTTAGTTTGGGTTGAACTGATTCCAGTCCGGTTTGGTTTTGAACCGAATTATAAAAATTATTATTTTTTAATTATTTTTTAATACAATTTTCAACTAAAATTTATTTTTTTGACTTGAAAATTAACAAATTATTCAATTTCATATAAAATAAATATTAAAACTAGAAAAAAAAAAAGATCTTTTGAAATTGAACTTGGATAAATATTAGTTATGAGATTAAAAATATATCATTGAATATAAATAAATATTAAAATTATATATTTTTTAATTTGACTAGTTATGTTCAGCTCGGTCCAGTTTTTGAAGACATAGAACCGGAACTAAAATAGGTCCAAATTGGTCCGGTTTGATTTTTGACCGGTTGTTGACTGTTTGGTCAACTCGATGTTTTTGGGGTTTGGTTCGATGCGGTTCAGCTCTAATTTTCGGTTCATCAGTTTGAATGCCCACCCCTAACCTCTGTTGATGGATGACTCGCTAGGGTTTATTAAAGGCTAATTTGACATTGTTGTGCTTTAAAAAAAAAAATCAATTTTGCTATACTACGAAAATAATCAGCTTTGAAATAAAGCAGCTAGAAGTTTAATAAATTGTATTTGAAAAAGTGTTGTGAGTAATCAAAGTATTTGGGAAACTTTTATACAAAAGCACTTGTTTCTATTTTTGTTATATTGGGAGGGAAAAAACCCTTTGAGCATGTATAATGACCCAAAAAACCACGAGATATAAAATATTAGTTGAAAATGAGCCATTAAATGTTAATAATAAAAAATTAATAATAAATTGAAATTGAGAAATAATATAAAAAAATTTAAAATAATCTAAAAACAAATAAAACTCTTTACCAAAAAAAGAAAAGAAACTCTCAACAACATAGCAGCCCCTTCCCCATCACCACCACAAACTCTCACCCCCTCCCTCCTCTCCTCCCCCCGCCGCAAACAATCGTCAGGCCCCTCCAACAACCCCACCTGACCCGACCCTGATACCATATCACCACACCCAATCCCTTCCCCCACACCAGCCCCACATAACAAACCTCACCCAACCACCACCTCTCTCTCTTGATCTCTCCACCCAAACCTTCACCGAGATGTCTACTTGATCTCCCACGCTGCCAAAATCCACCAAGCCATACCCACTGCCTAAATACAAAAACTTAAGCCATACCCACTGCCTAAATACAAAAACTTAGGGTTTTTAACTCTATTTTTGTTCAATTTTATGAAATTTACAAATCAACACA